TTTTAATGCTAATGTGCGTGCAATGTACAGTACAATTGATAATTTGCTTCTTTGTTACGATCAAAATATGTTGGTTACAAAAACCAAATTTGACATTTATGAACAGTTCAAATAAAATTTTGAATATTTTTATCGGTTTTTTGGTAATACAGAATTAGTTGGCGAGCTGAACCAAAGCACATTTATTTTTAATTGATTTAAAGGGTATTATAGTCCAAGATCTTAATTAAAAATCGTACTATATTAAAAATTCAAATACTTAACACATTAGTTTAGAAGCAAAATAAATTGTTTCCTTATAGAAACATCGAATGCTATTTTAAAAAAGGTAATAAGGAATCAAAAAAATTTTCTGCACTTTCGTTATCTCTTTTGTAAATGTCTTTATCAGGTATAGAATTAAGCAAATCGACTTTTTTTGAAAATCGGTTGCCTAAGCACTTGAGGTGGGATTTATGTCAATCCAAAGTTGGATGCCGACTAACTACAGTGAAGAAGGGGTGAGTCGTAGAAAAAGTTATGTTCTTAAGTGGGATCAGGAGTTTAAACTCACATCCAACAATCCATGTGACAGTTCACTACCAAACTCCAAATAGGAAACTATAGCATCTCCTCTCCAAGGCCATCAAGCGGCTACAATTCGAGTATGCTCCTCTTATATTATATCAGTTACTTTACCATAAAAATAGATGCTGACAGTTAGCAAGTGGGGATAAATAATAAGTTCAATATATACCCAAGTTTAATAATATAAATATAAATCGTGTTGACATGGGGGGTGAACTTCGTTCACACTATGAAATATACTAATATTTACCAAATTAATAACAACTAAATCACTTAGTACATTACTATCAGATTCCCCAACTATTAACAGTAATCCAGTAACACTGGGTGTAATATTTACAACTAAAACGCAATATTAAACTTAAAAATCATTAAATGGGACTAGGGGCAATCGTAAAAATGTAACACACGAGGTGTGTACTGTATTTAGCAAATAAACAAATAATAGCATACTATTTACGGACGCTAGGGGTAAAAACATGTAAAACTCCGTTACTTATTAAAAATATTAACTACCCTTAAGAATACACCCCACAAAGAGCTCTTGGTGACGTGTTTCGGGTTTAATAAAAACGTACTGTAAACCATACACCCCTAGACCTCGTTTACATTAGGTTTAGAATAAAACACGTACTAATAACACCCCCCAATAAAATAGATTAAATAGTAATAAGTAATATAAAAAAAAATAAGATAGCAAAACTTGCGGTACACCGTGACTTCTTCCCAGCTGCTCTAGTAGACGGTTGATGTCCTACTTCGGCATACAAATCAACCTGCCTGTCGTAAAGGTTGGTAGCCCGTTAGACGATTACTAGCTGGTCACAAGATGTGCTAGTCAGCCCGTCACAAGAAGTGTTGGCCCGTCACAAGAAGTATTAGCTCGTCACAAGAAGTGTTGGCCATTCACAAGGACTGATAGCCGTCACAAGAAGTGTGTGCCCGTCACAAGAACCCTCTTTTACAGCTAAAAAAAAGAGGGACAAAACGGTGCACCAGATCAATTGAACGGCAAATTCGTGAACGGCTTATTCAGAAAGACTACATATATATGTGGGCACAATGAGATTCAACACGTGGTTAAATATATCCTCCTAAGAGCTCCTACAACATGTGTTCACCAAAAAAATACTACCAAATCCACATTGTTGTAACTTAAAACAAAAAAGTTGCTTCGCAATATCCCAAATGGATTGAAACGACTTCCAATAAATTTCGAAACAGTACCTTCCAAATCAAAACTTCGTGTCGAATGTCAATCTCGAAAAATCCAGAAGGGCGGAAACCGACGTCACTTAAAAAAAAAACAGTAATACCAACATACCTTAGCGACAAATAGATGTCCCATCAGCGCCCTCTATTACGAAATAAATTCTTGACAGAAAGGGCTAAAATAACCAAACAAACCTCTAAAACAAAATAAATAGCCTAACTAAACTCAAATAGAGGTCCTATATACCCCAAACTGATCATATACCCACAATTAACGTCAGATCGTAAACGCTAGACCGACATCTTGAATACAGGGCAGTCACATGCTCACCCAGAGTGTCGCAGAGGGACTCCTCTGTTCGAATATCGATCCCAAAAGCACAGTGGTTAAAACGCGGGTATAGAAGGACCCATTAAATAATTACTGAACACGGATTTATGAAAAACCGCTATAAGGCTAAATTTAAACGTTACAAAATCGATAATAATTAGTATAGTTTTTTTAAATCGATAACCAATTAATCGATTATTTTCAATCCTTTATTGTTAACGACGTGCTCAAAGAACACGTCGCAATCCATTTCACAAAATTTAATGTTTTATAATGGATTCCCAAGTAAATCGGAACATTTTATCAAGAATAATTGTTTTTTTGTATAAAACTTTTTGAGACACACTGTATGATAGATTGCGACGTGCTCTTCGTTGATAATCTAAATACACCTTGTTGTTAACGACTTGTTCGAAGAACACGTTGCAATCTATTAAGCAGTGTATCCCAAAAAAATTAACAAAAATATTGTTCTTTTTTTTTGATTAATCGATTATTTCAATTAATCCATTATTTTTAATTATTTTTCGATTAATGGAAAATAATCAATTATTTATTTTGATAATCGCCCAGCCCTAATGGTAACTGTAAGGAAATTTGATCTAAAATATTACGATTCAACCTAAAATCGGTGAGCCACTGTTACGATACCTTTAAATATTTTTTTCTACGTTCATGCAAAAACAAAACTTTATTGAACTATATTTAGTGAAAAAACTGGTTCTTTATTGCACTAGTGCAATAAAAATTTTATTGCACTCATCTGTCATTTTACTACAGCGTTTTATGATCATGACAAACATAAATATTCAAATCGACGCCAAATATTTAGTCCATTTTCATTTTCTGTGAGATTGTATTACGTTTTAAAAAATATTAATATTGAAAATTGTACAAATTGTACATTTACTTTTAATATTAGTGGCAAAAACAACGTTTAAGCTTAATTATTGTTCATAACACAGTTGTTCCTAAAGTTTTGGTTAAATTATTTTTCTTACCATAGTTATATTACTTTTTCAATGTTAATCGATGCTAATTATTAGTTATTAAATATTTTGCTATTAAATTACGCTTTTTATTCTTCTGTACTTATAGTCTATTTTTATGTATAAGAGAGCAATAAAACAGCATTTTTAATGCAAAACTTAGTACCGTCATTTTAAATATTTTTACAGAATAATCTAAATATTTCCTAAAATTGTAATAAATGTACCTGAGCTATTACAAGTTTTGGGTCTTTTATTGGTCCTTTATAAACATAAGCTGTACAGAACAATAGAAAAAGGTTTGGACAGGCCAAAAGCCCTGTGTATTAAAGATTACATAGCCGTATCTTAAGATTATTTTCAATAAGTACCTATTTGCCAATTTTGTTTTATTTTAATTCCAAGAATTTCTTACAGTAATCGAATTATAAGTAGATAAATACCTTCCCAACAAATTTCACTGAAAATGCGATTATAGGTTTTCCATTTAGTAAGGAGGTCCAAGTTGTGTATTCTTGACAGTTTACTAAATGTCGTTTAGTTGCAACTTGCAAGGTGCAGAGAGAATTCTAGTGTGATCATGGAAAATTTGGAAGGGCCGCGTAAACGACAAAAAATCGGTCCTTTAACAGTTAATGAAAAAACATTAATATTTGTTTTAAATCATTTACAGACAAACATTTATGTAAAAGTGTTGATGACACAGTGGAATTAGTTAGTAGTACGCTTGGTGTTGGGAAATCTAGGATTTACAGAGTTGTTAAAGAAGAGAAATGTGGCGAGTTTCAAACAGCACGTAAAGCTCCAGGAAAACCAAAATTTCAATTAGAAAATCTTTTGAAAGAAAGTGCATGCGTTCTTCTTTAGAAAAGAATTTCCGACAGTAGACAAAGTTTTTGCCACGGTTCGAGATGATAAGGATTACCCTGAAATGAGTCGAAGCACACTGTGGAAACTTTTAAAAGAAATAGGTTTTCTATGGAAAAAGCATTCCAGAAAGTCTATTTTAATAGAAAGAAGCGATATTGTAGTATGGAGAAGAAATTACCTAAGGACTATAAAAGAAATGAGAAACCAAAGAAGAAATATATTTTATTTAGATGAAACATGGATCAACGAGGGACATAAACCAAATAAATTTTGGCAAGATGAAACTGTTACAAGTCAAAGACAGGCTTTTTTAAATAATTTATCTATTGGTTTAAATCCACCATCAGGAAAGGGGCGCAGACTAATAATAGTACACATGGTAGTTCAAACGGTTTTGTTAAAGGTGGTTTATTGATTTTTGAATCTACTCGTACCGGTGACTACCATGAGGACATGAATGCTGATGTCTTTAAAGAGTGGTTCGAACAAATTATAGATCTTCTTCCTCAGAACTGTATAATAGTAAAAAAATATTTACAGAATTGGCTAAATTCAAAGAATATTAAGTTCCATCCCGGTTCTGTGAGAAAAGAACTGTATCATTTGTGTTCCCTTCATAAAGAGAAATTCAAAAAATATGAAATTGATGAAATTGCAAAAAATCGTGGGATGACGGTGGTTTTTTACCTTCAGCTGTTTAGAAGTTATAAGCAGGTTAATTAGGTGAAAATATAAATATATATACTCGAGGAATAACTTCAAAAAATATAAAAATAGACTATAGTCGCCTAAATAAAAATTTTTTTTGTTTTTTGCATGAACATAGAAAAAATATTGTATGCAACTTGTGCAAAAAGTGTTTATTGCACTCGACGTGTTGTCCAACTCGGCCTAACGGCCTCGTTAACACTTACTTTTTTGCGCTTGTTGCATAAATAACTATTGTTCATACTTCTCAAAAAGTTTATGTACGCTACAATAAGTGAACTTATCCACTGATCAAAATATAGTGCTATGAATGTAATAAATACCTTTGGACAAGTTCTGGTACAGTTCATAATAGTATGACATCTAAAAGCAGAGAATGGGTCTCTCATTTTATCCAATCTTTTGGTTGTAGCTTCATCTCTTGAATCAATAATCCAACGATAAGCCTGTAAATAATATTTGCATTAAGAATCTTAACGCAGTCATTTAATTTTCAACTCATGTCATCAATAAATCGTTACTATGCACGTAAACGCAAATAAGTCAGGATTTGGTGAAAATAAAATTGTAAATTGAATTTACTCAAGATTTAAATATTACCTGCATGAGTACTGCTGGTCCCAAATATTTGTCTCCGTTCCACCAGTAGCTTGGACAAGACGTAGAGCAACATGCACATAAGATACATTCATATAAGCCATCCAATTTTTGCCTATCTTCCACGCTTTGTAGATACTCAGTATTTTTCTTCACAGTATCGTCCCTAAATCAAATAATAAATAACAATTCAGCTAAAAAACTTCAAAACAAGGTTTAATAACATAATCATAAATATTTGTTGGTTTTTTAAATATTATTGGTTAGACTCGAGGTTGGATTTCTCTTCGGTGCGACTAACTTTTTAAAATGCCCCATTTCAATTATTTTAATAATAATGAACGTCTTTATTTTAATAAGCCTCGGCGGAGTCTAGCATAGCTGTTCCACTCAACCGTGTACCAAATACAAACATTTCATATAATACAAATTGTAACGTAACATTCACGTTTTTCCTTTTAAAATATTTTTGTAATTATAATATTTATTCACAGTGTAACGGGGTCTTAACAAACGTGTAACTACCTCCTTAGTACTGTGTACCTGTAGTTGACCCGCTACGATTCAAAAATTTTGAACGAGTGCACCGTCCTCGTTACCCTCGTTATCCGTAGCAATTCGAGAGAGAGAGAGCGAGACAACTGCTCTCGCCAATTTAAGTTGAGAGTAGGTGTCGAACATTATTATCGACCCCGAACTCGCTACTTGGAGAGAATTTCGAATTTCGAGAGAGAGTCGGTTTGGTGAGTGATTTCAGGTAAGTCGTATAACCCACATTTTCGGGAATTTAATTTTTAATTCTTATTCAATCATTTAAATGTAACTAGGTTAATTTAGTAAAAGCTACTATTAGTTATTACGATGGTAGATTCACTTTCCTAATTTGTTGTTTGGATTTAAATGAGTTTGATTCACATTGATTCATTTTTTTTGCATTGTTTTTGCTACCACGTAGATATTTCGAATAAACACCGGCTTTTTTTTTATGTCGGCTTATTACTATTTAATTTATCAAGTTTATCGAATTTATTAAGGGTACTGCCTGAAATCACCACAACCTTCTCCAATTTTGCCGTTCGGGCAATTTTTGATTATATTTTCTTGGGTATATTTATGAGGGCTTTGCAATATCTATTGCAAATGCGTATTTGGAAATGGAGTAGCCATTTCCAAGTCTAGAGTCCGCAATATCAATTAATAATTTAAAGTTATTTAACTAGTTTGATTTACTTTACCCACATAGTATTGGGTAGTTTTGTTTTCAAGTTAATTTAAATATTGCAATTATTAGTTTAAATAATCACTCATAGTATAGCTTCTTGCATTTAATTTAGAATCACTAATTAATAAACTTAATTGTATTAGGTTACTCTATTGCGTATTTACTAAGGGAAAAGTAAACTATCTTACTTTTCGTTCCTTATATATATATATTTATTCGACCCCGGACCTCAGATCTATGATCTTGGGGCCCCAATAAGATCGTTTCCTCTGTCTCAATTATCGAATTTTCCGAGGTACACCGTAAATCAAGAGCCCTAATCGCATTGACAGTCCGCCACGAAGGAACTTAGTCCATCCTATCCCAGAATAGTAAAGTAGACCGTAGCTTCAGGAGGCCACAATCTAAGACGTTTGTTAAGTAAGCAGAGCGACATAGTAGTCGAGTGGGTACTCAATAATCACCCAACGTCTGAATTAAAGAAATCAGTGAGCCGCCAGATTAGTCGAACATCCAGGGATAAGTTCCACTTCGTGGGATAACAATTTGGCCAATATTTCAAGGGAAGTACAACCACAGCAATACCGATACCTCAGTTCAATTCGATACCAACTTTGTAAAGGCACGCGGTCGAATTTTTTCGTTTATTTAACTCAGGTTAAAACACCTAAGGCCTTCAGCCTAGTTAACTTTTATTATTAACATATTATTAACTTATTGGCCTTCAGCTCCTCAGATTTTATTTTCTATGGCCTTCAGCCTAGATTACTTTTATTATTGACTTATTGGCTTTCAGCTCCTCACATTGTTATTTTATACGGCCTTCAGCCACCTTGTTATTTTAAATATTAGCCTTCAGCTCTTTGTTTGTAATCAGCCTTCAGCACCAAAAGTTTTATTGTTAATAAAAAAATTTGAATTGAATTTTAATTTATTTTTGTTTCACCCACCACTGCTTCTACTTTCCAGGATTATTATTTGCATAATAGAAGGTCATCGTATTCACTTAATTACGAGCTTAATTAATTACATTTTTTTTTTGTTTTCATATTAGTTTTTTTTTCTTCTTAACATCTTTTATTAAAAAAAAAATCTCAATATGATGGCGCCCTAGTAAGGCAAAAGGTAACGACATTCAAGCAACCCAAGGCCGAACTCCGACCTGAGATTAGCTGTGAGCAAGACAATTTTAAATAAAAATAAAAACATCAGAAGATGGCGTTAGACCATTACAAAATATACATTGTTATTTAGATTTAAATTATTTAATATACATTTTATATAGACACATACAATAAGAAAATTAACAATACATAAACACAAACTTTAAAACAAAAGAAATTTTTTCAGTAATTTTTTAAAGATTTCTAGAGGTTTATTTTTACATTGATCAGGTAGAGAGTTATTTAATAGTGACTGCATTGTATGAGAAAGATCTCTTGTAGAGAGTTGTTCTATGTTTAGGTATACAAGAAGGCTAGTATTTCGGACATTCGAGCTAAATGTCAATTTTTTCCTAAGGTATGCTGGATTATTATTTCTCAGCAGTTTGTGTACAGAGGAAGCCATATGAATTAAACATATTAAGCCGTCCCAATTCTTTCAATTTGTTTGAAACATGATCTCTAGATGTTAATATAAAACTGAGCCTAACGCACGAGTTTTGAATTCTCTGTAGCCTCGCCGACGAGTCTACATCTAAACATGGCCCATAAATAAAATCAGCATAATTGGTATGACTTAATATTAACGTCTCACAGAGTTGTATTTTTAGAGATGCATTCAAAAAAGATCTGCTTCGATATAGATTTTTTAAAGAGCAATAATATTTTTGGACAATGGATCTAACTTGTTCCTTGAATCTCAATTTAGTGTCGATATAAATTCCTGAACTTTTGACTAAGTCACATGGCTAAACCACAGCTTATACAATACAGCTAAAACACTCTCTTGGCGGCAACGGTTTGCGTCGATTCCGTCGCGCATTGCTTAAGCTCCTCCTTCGGACGAAAAAGACGGCTTTGGCGTTCAGAATCGTACTTAGGTAAGGATTGAGCCGTGCGTATAATTTCGTTGATTGCATAATTTCGTTGAGCCTATAATTACGTTGATTTTGTTTGAGCTGCCTATTGTGTTAAGTTAAAGGTACTGTTATTATTTTGGTGACTCTTTAACTGTGAGTAGAATGAGTGAAAAAAAAGACATCATTCTGTATGTGCAGTCAAAAGCTGTTTTAATAAGGGTTATACCTACAAGAAAACATTCTTTCGTTTTCCCAAGGACCCAAACCGGTAAGTACCACATTCTAAGAAATTTTCATTAATAATAATATAATTTATACAGGATGTCCCATTAGTGCGTAATTGTTCAATATTTGAATTTGTGTTGCAGACACGCAAAAAAAGTTAAAAAAAAAATTATATGGATTTGAAAAATACATATTTTAAAAAAATCAAAATGTATGTTTTTTAAATGGAACACCCTGTATTTTATTTTATTTTTAGAATTGTTTGGTAATACTGTATTTAACCCTAAAATGTATTAAAAAATATAGTGTTGCCAAGCAATTCATTTTTTTTTAATTAGAGAATGATGCAGACTCCACATTAAATTATTATAATTTAGGTAGGTTTACATTGATTTCAAAATTGTTTAATATACAGACTTATAAAATACTAAGCTAACGAATAGTGGTGATAGAACTGGTTTATTTTATACAGAGTGTTTTAAAACATGTCTTAAATATGGCTAATTTTAAGTTCAATTTACTCAATTTTTTCAAACAAAACACCCTGTATATTATTTTGGCCTAAAATTCCTTATAAATTTGCTTATTTATCTATACCAAAATATTAGCCAATAACACATAAACTTTGTATCCCATGAGTGCGTAATTGATCGATAGCTGTTTTATTAGTGGAAATACGAAAAAAAAATTACATAAATTTGTATGACCATGTTTAATAAATATTATTAAATATACAGGGTGTTCCATAAACGAGGGGAGTTGATGAAACTTATACATTTTTAAAGCAAAACACCTTGCAGGTAGTCATACATATTTGATAGTTTTCACATCGTCAAACCATTTTAATAGACTTCATTTATTTGCTATAGGGTATATAGGGTGTGTCAAAATGGGGAGTAACGGTTTTCTCACGTTTTTAAATGGAATACCCCATAAATTATACCACCGACTAATTGATACAGGGTAATCCATTTTTTTGTATTTCTAATAATAAAACAACTATCAATCCATTACGCACTAATGGGACACCCTGTATATGTGTTATTGGCTAATATGTTGGTATCGTTGAGTAGGTAAATGTATTAGGAATTTTATGTCAAAATTATATACATTTAAAAAAATTGAGTAAATTGAACTTAAAATTAGCCATATTTAAGGCACGTTTCAAAACACTGAATAAAATAAACCAGTTCTATCACCACTATTCGTTAGCTTAGTATCATATAAGTATGTATATTTAACAATTTTTAAATCAGTGTAAACCTACCTAAATTATGATAATATAATTTGGGGTTAGCATCATTCTCTAATTTAAAAAAAAAAAAAGTTTGGCAAAACTGTAATATTTTTTCAAAACATGCTAGGGTTGAATATAGTGTTAACAAGCCATTCTAAAAATAAAATATACCTAGGGTGTTCTATTAAAAAAAACATAAATTTTTATTTGCCAGGCAAAAAACGTCTATAACACAAATTAAAATATGGAACAATTACGCCCTGTATAGACAGATTCGTTTATTGACTTACGTTAGATTTAGGCTGTTTTATTTTTAATAATTACTCCTAGGTGCTAAAGTTACCTATTGAGCTAGGAATTCTAAATTTGTTTAATTGTATAGATGATAGTCTAATAATTAACTTATTTAAACCTAAACACATGATTTTTTCAGGGCTAGGATATGGGCAATGAAAGCCA